ATGTTGAACATATGATATTTATCTTTATCTGACTGGTTTATTTCGCTTAGCATAATTCTCTCCATATCCATCCATGCTGTTGTGAATGGTAAGATTTCTCTCTTCTTTACAGCAGCGTAGTATTCCACTGTGTACATGTACCAGAGTTTTTCAATCTGCTCATCTGCTGATGGGCACTTAGGCTGTTTCAGATCGTAGCTATTGTAAATTGTGCTGCTATGAACATAGAGGTACATATGTCCTTTCTGATTGGTGTTTCTTATTTCGTGGGATATATTCCTAGAAGTGGGATTACTGAGTCAAAGGAGAGTTCTATTTTTAATTGTTTTATTGTTTTAATTAGTAACATGTTCAGTAGATATGTTTACTTATAATTATATAAGTCAAAATAAATGAATAAGAGACATTATAGAGTTGTTTAATCATGACTTTGCCATACCTAACTAAATTATAACTCCATTGTGGATCTGATTTGAGATATAGAGCATAAACCCAAACATTAAGTTTTTTTGCTGTTTACACTAAAAAACTCACTATACATCGTATTGCAAATATGAAGCATTCTGGTTAGGCTTACATCACAATCAACTCTTTGACATATAGAAAGGCTCTGACAGAGCTTCCTGATTTTACATTGAGTTTATTATCTCATTTTTCACATGCAAATAGTAAGTTTACCATCACCATTTTAGAAAGTAGGCAAGGCATAATTAGTTAAATATAATAAATGCTTCTATAGCCCAGGGGTTTATTAGGTACTGTTAGGTTCTTTATTGTATTCTCCAGATTGTTTTAGCAATTGCCTTTTCATTTCAGATTTTAATATCATTTCCATAAGGTAGGAAAGAGAAAGAATGTAACAATGGCTACCATTTTTGAGCTATTACTTAGTTCTAGGAACTTCGTTAAGTTCTTTACATCCTCACAGTGTTTTATGGTAGCTTTTTAAAAAAATGTTTCTATTGATTTTTGAGGGGGGAGGGGGGGAGAGAGAGAGAGAGAGAGAGAGAGAGAGAGAGAGAGAGAGAGAGAAACATACATCGAAAGAATCATTGACCAGTTGCCTCCTGCACACTCCCTATTGGGGATCAAGCCTGCAACCCGGGCATGTATCCTGACCAGGACTTGAACCAGTGACTTGTTCAACCACTGAGCCATGCTGGCTGGGCAAGGATAGCTTTTAATATCCTCATTTTAAAGAGAAATAATTGAGGAGTGGTTAAGTAACTTATTTACATGGCAAGCAAAATATCCCATTATCTTAATAACTATATCATAATGCTTCCAAAATTAGGCAATGAAATTAATATTAGTATTATTTACTAAATTAGATTAAAAGTTGATGGAAGTTTTATAATAGTTTGCTATATTATCTCTACCCTCTATTAAATATAGTTGCATATCATTTTTATTATGGTTCAGACATAGAACTTTAGTTTATAGTGTGTTTTTTCTTATGTATATTTACTTAATAACAGAAAAGTTTATGTGCACTTTCCCTCTTTGCTCTATTAGCACCTCTAGTAGCTGTGAAATTTAGGAATGTTTCTTCACTAACTTAGTGCTTTAAAGCTGTTTATCAAATATTATCTTTTGATGATAATAGGCATTATTATTTCAGTTTTATTCAACTCTGTGAAGAGCCATGAAAAACTTTTTTGGTCACTAGCTGTTATCTTCCCTAGTTTTAAGTGCCATTAATGACAAATCAATTTAGAAAATATGCTTTTTTCCCCAAAATATGTTTTTATAGTATAGTCATGTATGACATTCTCCTTTCTAACTTATATCCTGCTAATATTTCAATTTTTCCACATTAAATTCAACTGTTTTTAATTGCATCTTAAATATAATTGAGCCTTCTTTCATATATTCCTAAGAGTTATTCTTTGACTTAAGATGCTTTAGAAATTTAGATAGTTACTTTATACATTTTTTTTCCTAGGGCTTATTACCCAAACCAAAGGAAACCCCATTTCTTATCTCCTTTTTCATTGCTCAAGTTGTGACTACATGCTCTGGAATACTCTCTTATCCCTTTGACACAGTTAGAAGACGTATGATGATGCAGGTATTTTATATTGTTTGAAAGTTTAGTTGAGTTTTCCACTATCTCTGATACTCCGGTATAATTTATTCAAATTTTAGAGACATTTTGACTGGAAAATAGGTCATTTGTTAATAAATGCATGCTGTGCTCTCGCCCAGTGGCTCGGTTGGAGCATTATCCCATACACCAAAAGGTTGCCGTTTTGATTCCCAGTCATTTGCGGGTTCAAACACCTATGTCAGGCAACCGATCAATATTTTTCTCGAATTCATCTCTCTCCCTCTCTCCCTCCTTCCCTTTATCCCTCCTCCCCCATCCTCTCTAAAAATCAATAAAAACATATCTTCAGGTGAACCTTAAAAAATAAATGCATGTAGTTTTGACTTGTATTTCTTTACTGTTACTATTATTAGACAGGCAGCATCCAGCAAAGCTTTTTTTTTCTTCTGCTATGAGAACAGAAATGCTTTCTACTCCTGTAGCATATATTGTTTGAAGGGTAGAGGAAGATGGTAGGGATTGAATGAGTATGTCTGTCTTAACTGAGTATTAGATCAAGTAGAATAAGGCTAGTCACAACTTAGGTAATATCATTAGTTGTAGTATATTTCAATAAAAGTAAATAATTTTCACTTAAAAGATGAAAACTTGTTAATGACCTATGTTCTAAATATAGTCAGTTTTGATACATTCAATCTCCAATGCTGTTACTTGTTAACATTCATTCATTCAGCAAATATTTGACTGCCTAATCTATGCTAAGTTATGGTGACACAAGTAAAATAAAGCAGAACCTGCACCAAAATTCATAGCATACTATTGAAGGCATACAGTTAATGGTTTAAATAGAAATGCGCATAGGTTCCAGGAATGCAATAGAAGAGGGTGCCCAAATGCTTACTGTGATCAGATTTGGCCTCTTGCAGAGCTCATCTCAGTAAATAGGCATTTTCCCTGGGGAGAGAACATTCTAAGCAGAGTGGAACAAACATAGTACATAGAGGTACACTTGAGAAGTGGTTACTTATACCCAGATGATAGGTTTCATGGGGCAAGTGCAAATAATGAGGCCAGAAAGCTAGAAAAGTTCTGTATGGCTTACTATGCCAGATACTGTCCTAAGCATTTTACACTTTAACTCATTTAATTCTCAGAGTAATCCAAAGAGGTGTGGTTACTATCATTACCCTCATTTTATGTCTATGAAATGGTCCTGGAAGAACACACTAGGTCACCAGAAAGGGTAAAACATTATCTAACCTATTACATCATTCTTGGACCATCCTTAAAAGTTATTCCATTTATACCTTTGTTTCTTCTTGATCTATATCTAGCTCTAGTTTAATATATTGAGAACTTTTTATCTTCACCCAAGGACATGCTTAGAGAGAGGAAGGGAGAGAGAAAGAGAAAGATCAGTGTGAGAGAAACATCAATTGATTGCCTTCTGTATGCTACCCTGACTGGGAATCAAACCGGCAATCTTTTGATGCACAGGACAACACTAACTGGGCCACTCTGGCTGGGCTACATTGAAACATTTTTTAAATGAAAAATTAATTTGCACAGTATAGTAATAAGTCTGTATTGTGGATTAGTAAATGGTACTGTATCAATGTTAAGTTTTCTGATTTTGATAATTATGCTTTGGGTATGTAAGAAAATATTAGAAAAAGCACACTGAAGTGTTTAAAGATAATGGTCATGATATCTGCAACTTACTGTCAAAATAACTGAATTTCAGTGTATTGCTAGGGCTGCTGTAACAAAGTACAATAGATAACAGAGATTTGTTTTCTTTTTTAAAAAAATATATATTTCAGAGAGGAAGTGAGAAGGAAAGAGATAGAAACATCAATGATGAGAGAGAATCAGCTGCCTCCTGCACGCCCCCTACTGGGGATTGAGCCCACAACCTGGGCATGTGCCCTTTACCAGAATAGAACCTGGAACCCTTTAATCTGAAGACCAACACTCTATCCACTGAGCCAAACTGACTAGGGCAAGATTTATTTTCTTACTGTCTTGGAGCATAAATGTTCAAGTCAAGGTGTCCACCAGGGTTGGTCCCTTCTGAGGGTATGTCTCCTTGGCTTATAGATGGCTGTCTTTTCCCTACGTCTTCCCATGGTCCTTTTGTCTCTCTTCTTAAAAAGATGGCCATATTGTATAACAGTGCACCCTAATGTGCTCATTTGATCTTAGATACCTTTATAGTTATCTAAAGTTAACTATAGTTAGTCACATTTGAGTAAGTATGTTGAGTCACATATAGTTAGTGTGTGTGACTATATAGTTAGTCACATTTTTAGGTATACTGAGGATTTAGACTTCAATATGTGGACTTTGTGGGCACACAATTAAGCCCATAACAGTACTGTTGAATTTTTGTACTCTTATTTATATCCCACAACTTTCTTAAACCCTATTACAAATACTAATCTATGTGTACACTCTTTGAATATTTCTTTTTTACACACAGAAATCTACAGTCTGCAAAAATTGCCAGGTTCTTTCATTTCTTTTATCAATACTTACACCTTGTATTTCTTTTTCTTGCATTTATGCACTGTCTGAGACTCCTGTTACAGTGGTATATTAAAGAAGTAATTGGCCACCTTGTCTTGTTCTAATCTTATAAGGCAGTGGTCGGCAAACTGCAGCTGGCGAGCCACATGCGGTTCTTTGGCCCCTTGAGTGTGGCTCTTCCTAAGCCTTAGGAGTACCCTAAACTACACTAATAAAAGAGAAACATGGTAATTGGCGTACGACCGCTACCCTTCCCATTGGCTAATCAGGGAGATATGCAAATTAGCTGGCAGCCAAGATGGCGGCCAGCAGCCAGGCAGCTGGAAGCTAACATGAGGCTTGTTTGCTTCAGTGAGTGTGACAGCGGGCAGCACCCCAACCCCCTGATCGGCCCTGCTCTGTGGGTGATAGAGGGTGATGCCCCAATCGCCCCCCACAGGCCCTGTTCTGTGTGCGATGGGGTAGAGCCATAACTTCCCCATCGGCCCTGCCCTGAGTGTGACAGGGTGCGGTGCCCCAAACCCTTGATCCTCCCTGCTCTGTGAGTGACAGGGGGCAATGCACCAACCCCTGATTGGCCCTGCTCTATGGGTGACAGGGGTGGCACTGCAACCTCCCCATCGACCCTGCCTTGAGTGTGATGGGGGCGGTGCCCCAACCTCCCAATCGTCCCTACCCTGAGTGTAACTGAGGGTGGAATCGCAACCTCCTGATCCGCCCTGCTCTGTGCATGACAGGGGGCAGTGCCTCAACTCCCCAATCAGCCCTGCTTTGAGCCTGACCAGGGGCTGCACCTAGGGATTGGGCCTGCCCTCTGCCACCCGGGAGCAGGCCTAAGCCAGCAGGTCGTTATCTCCGGAGGGGTACCAGAGTTCTAGAGGGCACAGGCCGGGCTGAGAGACCTCCCCTTCCCCTGAGTGCACAAATTTTTGTGCACCGGGCCTCAAGTTAATAACAATGTACCTACCTATATAGTTTAAGTTTAAAAAATTTGGCTCTCAAAAGAAATTTCAATCGTACTGTTGATATTTGGCTCTGTTGACTAATGAGTTTGCCGACCACTATTATAAGGAGTGCCTTCAGTGTTACATAATTTAATGTTAGCTGTGGGGTTTTTGTAGTTATCCATTGTCAAGCTATGGCTGTTCCTTTCTGTTTTGGGTTATAATAGGTAGTAATTATGAATGGCAGTCATGCTTTTTTATATCTGTTGACATCAGATCATGTTTTACTTTTCATGTGAATATATAATATCTTAATCTATTCTTTAAAATATATTTTTATTGGTTTCAGAGAGGAAGGGAGAGGGAGAGATAAATAGAAACATCAGTGATGAGAGAGAATCATTGATTGGCTGCCTCCTGCACATCTCCCACTGGGGATCAAGCCTGCAACCTGGGCGTATGCCCTTGACCGGAATTGAACCCGGGACCGTTCAGTCTATAGGCTGACACTCTATCCACTGAGCCAAACCTGCTAGTGCTGTTTATCTGTTTTCCAGAGCCAACCCAATCTTTTGTGCCTGGAATAAATCCAGTTTGGTCATGATTTGTTGTATTTTGTATCCCTTCCTGGGTTTGATTGGCTAGTTTTTGTTCAGGATTTTGGCATCCATGTTTCAGTGACATTGGCTTGGAATTATTGCTTCTTATATTGTCCTATTCTAATTTTGATATCAAGGCTTTGTAAGCTTCATCTGATATGTTGGGGATTCTTCTTACTTTTCTCTTCTCTAGAATAATTTATGTAAGATTAAAATTAAATGTTTACTGAATGTTTAGTAGAACTTACATATAAAGCCACCTGGTTTTCTTTATGAGAAGATTTTCAGTAACTGACTGAATTTAATGAATTTATTCCATTTTTTTCTATTCTGTTGGTAAATTATGCTTTAAAGAAATTTATTTTTTAATTAATTTATTTTTTAATTAAAACTTCTGAGTTTTCCAAATAATTGCCATGAAGTTTTTTGTAATATCATGTTACTCTTCTTTTTTTTTTTCTTTTTTTTATTGATTTCAGAGAGGAAAGGAGAGGGATATAGAAACATCAATGATTAGAGAGAATCATTGATCAGCTATCTTTTGCACATGCCACACTGGGAATCAAGCCCACAACCCGGCTATATGCCTTGACCAGGAATCAAACCGTGACCTCCTGGTTCATAGGTCAATGCTCAACCATTGACTCACACCAGCTGGTCTATCATGTTTCTCTTAATCTCTGAATCATTTGCTATTTCTAATAGTTTTGGTGCCAGAATGTTTCCAGAAATGTATCAGTAAATTATTTCAAATAACTAATTTTTGGCTTTTCATGCTTTCTGTTGTGTTTATTTTCTGTTTCCTCTTTTTTTTTTTATTTCTACTTCCTTTGGGTTTACTCTTTGTCTAAAATGTTTAGATTGCTCATTAATTTCCTTATAAGTTACCACTCAAGCTGCATCTTAAGGAGTTTTGTGGTTATTACTAGGTTTAAAATATTTTCTAAGATGTGTTCTTCTTAATATCCAAACATGATATTTTTCTAGTTATTTTTTTTCTTTACTACTGATTTAGCACTTCATTGCAGTGTGGTGAGAGTATAAATAATGGTTTGTGATACCATCTTTTGAAATTTGTTAAGCCTAATATTTGCTCAGTTTTCAAGTATGTCTGCAAAGTATGAGTATTCTCCGACCACTAGATATACATTCAATATATGCCCATTAGCCCAACATACTTACTCAACATGGTATTAATTTTACCTGTACTTAGTGCTGAATAAAATCTATCTTAACGTAAAAGCTCTTATAGTAATGGCAAACTATTTTTCTTTATGTAGAGCGGTGAGACTGAACGGCAGTATAAAGGAACTATAGACTGCTTTGTGAAGATATACAAATATGAGGGAGGCGTTGCATTTTTTCGTGGTGCCTTCTCCAATATCCTTCGTGGTACAGGGGGCGCTTTAGTGTTGGTATTATATGATAAAATTCAAGAATTCATTAATATTGGTAGTGGAGGTAGTTCATAGGAGATTAAATTGAGAAATGCATACATTTAACTTGTTAAACATACCAATTATATAGCTGCCATTTGTATATATTTTGATAGTTTGTTATTGCTGTCAGCATTTTTTAAAGTGGTAATTCTACAATAAAGCATAAGCTTTTTCAAGCATTTAAATAAAAATCAGATAAATGTGGGTTTCCTTCCCACTAAGACTCAAACTCACTTTACTGAGACATTTTACTTAGTATACGTTATTTTTATTAGTTAAAATCTTTTTCTTTTGTGATGACAAATTAAAAAGTATAATGTTAAAATATAAGAAATTAAAGTTCTTTAAAAATGCTATTATTTTAATGTGGTTGTCTTCCCTTCTTTTACAATCATATGACATATATTTCTTTAAAGCTTATCCGAAGATGTCATCATTATATCTTTGGGCATAAGTAAGCTTTCTTCAACATCTCTACTAAAACAGCTCAGTTTATTACTAAGTATAGTGTTTATGGTATTATATAGCTTTTAATAAACCCAGATTCTAGGTCTCATAAAAAACACACAACCTGATAATGACATTAATGACACTGTAAACCTGTAGTTGGGGGAAAAAAGATACAAAATGGCATATATCTGCTAACTTTTTTCTTTAAATAAAATCTTGCTAATGTGAATATATCTTGGAACAGAAAAAATCCCCTCAAAAATTAGTTTGTGTATTTTGTATTAATAAAGTAAGTTTAAATGTTATATCTGAGCTTTTTTAAAATTTTTATTGTTGAAAGTATTATAGATGTCTCTCTTTTTTTCCCTCATTGGTCCCCTCCCCCCCATCTCTTCCCCTCCCTAGGCCTTCACCATACTATGGTCTGTGGCCATGAGTTATGCATATCCTATATAATAGTCCTATATAATAAAGAGGTAGTATGCAAATTGACAATCATGCCATCGCACAAGATGGCCACCCCCAGTGATCACAAGATGGCTGGCAGGGGAGGGCAGTTGTGGACGATCAGGCCAGCAGGAAAGGGAAGTTGGGGGAGACCAAGCCTACAGGGGAGGGCAGTTGGGGGGGGACCGGGCCAGCAGGGAAGGGCAGTTGGGGGCGACTGGACCTACAGGGAAAAGAAGTTGGGGGGAACCAGGGCCAGCGGTCCCAGATTGTGAGAGGGGTGTCCAACCATTGGGGGTCAGGCCTAAACTGGTAGTCAGACATCCCCCAATTGTAGTGGGTGCAGGCTGGGCTGAGGGAACCCTCCCTTAGGTGCACTAATTTCGTGCACCGGGCCTCTAGTATGCATATAAATTCTTCAGTTAACCTCCTCCTGCCACCCCCTCCCCTTCCCTCTGAGAATCCTCAGTTAGTTACATGCTTATGGCCATGTTACCCTCCACACATGGACTATTAGACTTTAATTAGCTTGGATACTAAGCTACTCCCAACTGTAACATGGAAAGGAAGCTCCAGATACAGGCCTGCTCCTGGAACCCCAGCTACACCTTTTCCAGGACTGGCTTCTCCCAGTAAACTTTGGTTCTATTAATCGTTTTTGTCCACAACTTCATTCTTCAATTTCGTAAGACATTGAACTGGACTCGAACACCCACATTTTTTGTTTCAGCGGGGAAAGAAAAGAGGGACATCTGTAATACTCTCAAAAAAATTTTTTTAAATGACTCCATTTATTTTTTATGTTTTTATTGATTGTAGAGAGGAAGGGAGAGGGAGAAACATCAATGTGAGAGAGAAACATTGAACAGCTGCATAGGATCAAGCCCACAACCCAGGCATGTGCCCTGATTGGGAATTTAACTGGTCCTTTTGATGCATGGGATGATGCTCAACTAACTGAGCCACAGTAGCCACAGTCTCATTTTTTAAAAATATATATATTTTTTTTATTGATTTCAGAGAGGAAGGGAGAGAAACAAACATCAATGATGAGAGAATCATTGATTGGCTGTCTCCTGCACACACCCTCATGGGGATCAAGCCCACAACCCTGGCATATGATCTAAACCAGGAATTGAACTGTTACCTGGTTAATAAGTTGAAGCTCAATCACTGAGTAATGCTGGTCTGGCCATGTCCTCATTCTTGAAAAGGTAAACTTCTTTCCTACAGGATAAAGACTTATTATCATGGCGTACAATATCCTTCATGATCTAGCTCAACTTCAGCTGTACATCATATCTGCCCTAGGCACCACAGGCATACAAGTAACTTCTGATTCCTCAAATACAGTATGTTTTTTGATACTTGTGTGCTGTTGCACCTGTTGGTATTTTTATGTCATTTATTTTCTTTGTAGAGTTAAATAACATGCCTAAGGCCCTATTGCTAGTAAGTTAGGCAAACCTGGGACTACAAATCTCTTTGACCCCCAAAGCCTGTTAGGCTTCTAGCCACTAGGTACGCTCATTTCCTCCCAGGAAATGTAAAGAATGTGGTAACAATCTCTTGCTCCTGGCCTCAACTATTTACTTTCACTCTGGTATTTTAAGTGTTTTTTTTTAAATAGAAAAATCATTCTCACACCCTCGTTATACCGACAGAAAGCGTGGGTAATTATATGGCCCTAGGAGATTCTGGAGATTCTGGGATAAATCTAAGTGGTGGGCCCAAGAGGATGATGGCTGCACAGGCAACTGAGGGGGAGGGTCAAAGCCACGTGCCACTGGGGGCGGGTTTCTTTGGGAGCCCAATAGCCAATCCCCATTGTGCTCGCGCACTGGCCCACGGGAGGCCCCTCCCCAGCCTGCGGTGTCCCTGACAACGGCGGTGTCCACCAGGAGCTCCAGTGAACTTGTGAAGATGTGACTCCCTGATGTAGAAAGACCGGAGTCAAAGCAGTACTGTACATTCCAGGTTCTCAGTATTGCTCTTGAAAATGGGCTTCACGGTCCCTATAGCAATAGCAGCAGGAGCTATAGCCACAATTGTTGCTATTGCTGTTGTAGCATTGATAGTAGTAAAAAGCATAAATTCTTTTAAGTGGACAAATAATGACAATACGAGCACTGGAAAATTTGGTGAAACCGTCAATTTCAAGATTGAAACAAGTAGGAAACAGGATAAAGAATCGATCGAGAAGGAACAGAAAATATACGAATTAGTAGAAGAGGAACAGAGAACATCCCAAGAATTGGGTGAGAAGAAACAGGAAACATCTGACGAGGTGGATGAGAAGGGCCAGGAATCATATGAAGAATTGGGCAAGAAGGAACAGGAACCCCATGAAGAAGTGAACCAGAAGGCACAGGACAGCCACGCTCCGTAAGTGTAAACTATAACTTGGTTAATTTCAGAGGGACAGACAGCAGATGCTGATCACGGGAGAGGGACACAGGGCTGGGCCACACCAGGCTGCTATCCTGCCCCCTACAGGGCAGATGCTGGAGGGAAGCCCTGGCTTCGGGTGTAGTGGTGGCAGACACACCGGTTATTGGCCAGGGTTAGTGGAGGGGACTGCATCTTTAGAATGGGGCGAAGGAAGTTACGTGGAGGGAAAATTATCAGCTGGTTTCTTGACCGTTTGGTTTGGGGTATTTCAAGCCCTGGTAAGAAGAAGACGCGCGCGCGCGCGCACACACACACACACACACACATATACACATATACACACACACCAAGATCTATCTGTTGAGTCGGCTTTCACACAGGCATAGAAGTGAAAAGGCCGCTTTCCCCCTGTCGGCGGCGCCCTTGAGAGAG